ACCACTGGTCTGTTATCTGAACCTATAGCATTTTTTTTTTTTTTTTGAGATGGAGTCTTGCTGAGTCACCCAGGCTAGAGTACCATGGCTTCAGCCTAGATCACAGGAACCTCAAACTCCTGGGTTCAAGTGACCCTCCTGCTTTAGCCTTTTAAGTACCTGGGACTATAGGCACCATATCCAGCTAACTTTTCTGTTTTTAGTAGAGACAAGGGTCTCACTGTTGCTCAGGCTGAACCCCAGACCTGAAGCCATCCTCCCACGTCTGCCTCCCAGAGTGCTAGGATTATAGGCATGAGCCACCATGCTGGGCCTAACCCTATAGTTTTGTTCAAGGCAAATTTTAATCATGGTTACTTAGTAATTTCCATAAAAGCAATCCCTTTCCCTTTATGCTTTGTATTGTATTCTACAACCTACATCCTTAGCCCAAAGGAGAGAGCAGGTGAACTGAAAAGAACTTTGAGATGGGAAGGCTCACTGAAGGTCTTCACCAGGCCCACTGTGGTCCCTGGCTCCCTCGAGCATTGATTCACTTCTGTGCTGAAGAAGACAACAACCCAGTTCACCTGGGCCAGAAAAAAAAATGTGTAATTGGAGAAGGAATCAGGTGATCTGGCACTTTCAGTATGTTGTTTTTAGTGTGACCTCAAAGGGGAAAAGATCAGACCTGCATTGGAAATACGATGAAGATGTAATTATTTTCTATTGCAGTTCCAATTACAAAGAAGGAAGTGAATCAAATACCAGATACAGCAGAGAATTATTTTTAATGAGGTGAAATTCACATAACATAAAAGTAGCCATTTAGGGCAGCACCTGTGGCTCAGTGAGTAGGGCGCCAGCCCCATATACCAAGGGTGGCGGGTTTCAAACCCGGCCCTGGCCAAACTACAACAAAAAAATAGCTGGGTGTTGTGGCGGGTGCCTGTAGTCCCAGCTACTTGGGAGGCTGAGGCAGGAGAATCACCTAAGCCCAAGAGCCGGAGGCTGCTGTGAGCTGTGATGACACAGCACTCTACTTAGGGCGACAAAGTGAGACTCTGTCTCTAAAAAAAAAAAAAAAAGTAGCCATTTAAAATTTTGCCATTTTAGTGGCATTTAGTATGCCCACAATGTGTACTCAGAGTGACAGAGTGACTCTATCTCAAAAACAAATAAATAAATAATAAAAATAAAGATGTGAACATCCCTAAGAGAAAATCTGCTCTAGAGTCTAATTCCAACGCAAGGGATGCATGAGTCTTCCCATACATACATACATAATAAAGAATGGGTCATCCCCCCTCTTACGGATTAGAAATCAAAGGCACAGAAGTATAAAGTGGCCCCATCCCAGTGCGATTCCAAATTTACCATAGCTAGTGTCTCTGAGTGCAGGAAACTGAAAACAAAGTCCACACGGAAAGCAAACTTCTTGGGGAGGATTTCAGGATAGTCTCACTGAATGCAGAAAACCCTTGAAATTCTGTGTTCTTTCACGGGCGATTGTGAATACTGTCTGAGAGTGTCTCTTTTCAAGCAGCCAGCCAGTGTGCCAGGTACAGCTTCTCATGGCTTCCCTTTTTGAGACCCTCTCATTACTTCTATTGCATCTGAACCTCTCTAGCATCTTCTGTTTTGCTCCTTAATCCAGGGCATTTCCCTGCCTCCCACTGGTCCAGCACAGCACTTCCCTCTTTGGGGCTCTCTTGAGAAGTGCCCCCAGAAAATGGAGCTGGTCTTCTGTAATGAATTCATCTCTATAACGAATAGTATAACATCCGAGTCCCACCATATTTACATAGCAATCTCCACACAAAAGCAACATTACATTACGAAGGGAGGTTTTTTTTTTTTTTTAAAGAATGTCATCTCAAAGCTCCATTTCCTCCAGTACTAAGAACACTATTGGAATTACCCTGACAGGAAGACAAAAACAACTTTCAGGGATGCTGGGTTAGAGACAATAGCTAAACCAGATCCATTAATGTTTAAAGTCAATGGAGCATAAAACTGCTTTTTTTCTACTTACAGCCAGGCATCATCTTACAGAGAGGAGAAAAAAATCACCATTTTAACTCTGCTGAAATCCATAAACCCTCCCCTAATTTTCATTCCCCTTGAAATTCTCCAGTAAGTACCATCAGAATGAAAATGAGAATCAGTCTCTCCAGGGGCAATGGTTTCCCATCCTCATCAGTAAAGTGTTTGAGAAGAGCCCTCCATGGAGAAGGAGGAGGGAGGCTGCCTGCTGGGAAAGGATCCATCACCCAAACCTGCAGAACTAGTTCTAGTGACACACCTTGGGTCTCGGGAGTGTCTCAGGTCAGGGTAAGACGTAAGGCAGAGTTCTCAGACTGGGAAATCCCAGGAAGGAATGCCTTCAGGTTACATTTCACTTAGTGGTCAGCATGGGGGAACATTTATCATTAACATATTAGATTTTCCTGGGAGGGAAATTGCTAGAATTGAGCTAGTCCTCTTAGTAAATGGCTGGACCTAATCCTACATTACATTTGTGTAATTCCTGACAAAACCCATTCCCATTATCTCATTTGATTCTGAAAACAATCCTCAGAGGGAGACGGGGTAGGGATTATTTTTTCCATTTACAAGTGAAAAACACTTGTAAACTGATTTGCCAGGAGTCCCACACCCAGGATGTGGCAGGAAAGAGACGTGAATCTAGGTCTTTGCACAACCTGTTCAGGGTTCTTTTGATTCTACACAACACAGTGGCCAAAATATTCCCAGCCCCACCCATTCCTCACAACCACCAGTTTAACTAGCAACTGGGAACTCACCAGACGGAGCTTGTTTATACTACCCACACACCTCTGTCCTAGTGAAGAAATACAGCTTGGCTGGCAAGCTCTCTCTGGGAAAAAATTAATTTCATATTATCATCACCTTGCACTAAAGGCTAAAATTAATCCCAGAAGAATTTGAAAACTAAAGGCATTAGAAAAATCTAAAGAAAATAGAACTGAATATTTAATAACTTTCTGGAGGCAAGGAGACTCTAAATTTAGCATCATGCTAGAAGTCTCTAAGGAATTTTATTAATTGAACTGCATGAAAATTTATTTTACTGGGGAAAAAAAGACTATGTCTAGCCAACAAAAAACTTGATGAGATATCTGGAGCAAAATATACATGAAAAGGGTAAACCTCTGGTATGTAAGGGAGTCATGCAAATACATAAGAATTCCATAGGAAAAACTCATTAGGGAACACTGTACAAAAAAGGAAGTAAAGTTGGTTTGAAAGAAAGGAAGGAATCATCAATATGCATAAGTTTTATGCAGCAAAATACTAGTCACACACTTATTTACAACAGTGAAATTAGGTGAATGTTAAAGGAATTAATAATTTACGGAACAGGCACTTGGTATAATCATTAAACATGTAATCATTAAGATGTCTTCAAACTGCTTGCAATAACATGAAACAGATTTATGTGAGGCGAAGTGGAAAGTTTATGATATTTTATGTGTGTCTGTTTGTACAATATATTTTTATAGAAAAAAAGATTGGAGAGAAAAATATTTAAAATGAGCCGCATTTGAGTCCTACTATTACGAGAGATATTTTTCATCTCCTTTATTTCTAGCTGAAACTTTAAATAAAAAACAAAAAGGACAGTCAAGTGTTCTTTAGCCAGATGGTGGTGAGTCCCTTTCTCTTGATGTGCCTGGGAGATAGAAGGGGAGAGAGGACATAAAACCTCAGGGACCCCCACCTCACACAGAACCTACCCTCTTTTTTAAAAGTGTCCTGGCTCGGTGCCTGTGGCTTAAGTGGCTAAGGCGCCAGCCACATACACCTAAGGTGGCGGGTTCAAATACAGCCCGGACCCGCCAAACGACAATGATAGCTGCAACCAAAAAATAGCCGGGCGTTGTGGCAGGCGCCTGTGGTCCCAGCTACTTGGGAGGCTGAGGCAGGAGACTCGGGCCCAGGAGTTGGAGGTTGCTGTGAGCGTGATGCCATGGCACTCTACCCAGGGGGATAGCTTGAGGCTCTGTCTCAAAAAAAAAAAAAAGAAAAGTGTCCCCTCTTTAGGCCAGACACAGGGGCTCACGCCTGTAATCCCAGCACTCTGGGAGGCCGAGGAGGGAGAATCGCTTTAGCTCAGGAGTTCCAGACCAGCCTGAGCGTGACTGCAACCCCCATCTCTACTAAAATTAGAAAAATTAGAAAAACTAGCCGGGTTGCTGTGGCGGGCACCTGCAGTCTCAGCTACTCCGGAGGCTAAAGCGAGAGGATCACTTGAGCCCTGGAGCTTGAGGTTACCGTGAGCGAGGCTGACGCTATAGCTTTCTAGCCTGGGAAACATAGCGAGAGAAACTATTTCTCAAAAAAAAAAAAAAGAAAGAAAGAAAAAAGAAAAGAAAAAAACAGAAAGGAAGAAAGAAAAAGCGTCCCCTTTCACCCTGAATTCCCTCCTCCTTTCTCCGCCCCGAACTGAGCCTAGCCAGTCAGCGGGCGCGGCCCGCCCCTCCCCCCACGCTCCCGTCCCGGCCACTGCGGGTGCGCGGGGGAGGGGCAGGGCCGGCCCGGCGCGGCGGACACGTGGGGAGGGTGGACGCGTCCGAGGAGGAGGGGTCGGGCGTGCGGGTAGGTGTGTCGGTGAGTGGGAGAAACCAACCCAAGCCAGTTCAGAGTCTTCATTTTCTCATACTGCTCGTCGAGCCGGGCTAAGTACAACCGCTGTCCCCACGGCCAAGATCGCCTCAGAGTTGGATAACCGACACAGACACGAGAAGGCTTCCGCCGCGGTCCTGCGCTTTCCTTTACGTGCAACGCCCGGCGCCTTCTCGTGCGTCAACCCCGTCCGGGCGCGGTGGTAGGGCCCCGCACGACGTCACCCATTGTTTACAAATCAACCCGAGCCGGCAGGATTTCGGCTCCTGCGGCTGTAGGCGCCGGGCGCCAGTGTCTGGCGGGCTCCGGCTTCCGAATTTGTCCCCGCCCCGGCCCCGGCCTCGCCCCCAGCCCTGGCCCCAGCCCCGCGCCCAACTCTTTCTGCCGCGGCCCGCCGAACTCGCGGGCAGCCGAACCGCCAGTGACGCCCGCAGAGCTCCGGGTGCCAGCGCGGGGGGCCATGCCGTGTGGGAGGGAGGAGGAAGAGGAAGCCGGCGAGGAAGCGGAGGAAGAGGAGGACAGCTTCCTCCTCCTGGAGCAGTCGGTGACGCTGGGCAGCTCGGGCGAGGTGGACAGACTGGTAGCCCAGATCGGCGAGACACTACAGCTGGACGCAGCACAGGACAGCCCGGCCTCCCCGTGCGCTCCGCCGGGGGCGCCGCTGCGACCTCCGGCGGCGGTGCCGGCAGACAAGGCCTGGGCTCCGGCGGTGCCGCTGCTGTGGCCGCCGGCGTCGGCTGAGGTCGTGGGCCCGGCTCTCCCAGGGACTCTGCGCTGCGCCCTCGGGGACCGCGGGCGTGTGCGGGGCCGGGCTGCGCCCTACTGCGTGGCCGAGCTCGCCGCAGGCCCCAGCGCGCTGCCCGGGCCGTGCCGGCGAGGATGGCTCCGGGGCGCCGTCGCCTCCCGGCGCCTTCCCCAGCGACGATGGACCCAAACCGGGGCACACGCCGGCGATGACGACCCTCACCGACTCCTGCAGCAGCTCGTGGTCTCGGGAAACCTCATTAAGGAGGCTGTGCGGAGGCTCCAACGAGCCGTCGCCGCAGTTGCAGCCACGGGCCCGGTAGGAACACCTGGGCCTGTGGGAGGCCACAGCGGACCGGACCCTGTCCCCTTGCAGCCCTCCGGCGCCTTCCTCTGACCCAGGCCCCCTGGAGGAAGAGGAGGTCGCTGCAAAGACCCAGCAGCGACCCACCACCCCTAAGCTGAAGCCGCCGTCGCTATCCTGAGAGTCACCGCGTAGGCTGCGGAGAGGCGCGTGGGGAGAGGCCTAAAGATGAGAAACTACCCATCCCGGTGATGCTCTTAGAGAAAACATAAGAAATGCCCGAGCCAGGGCGCGTCTTTGGTGCATGAGAATTTCCCCTGCCATCGGGGCCAAAGACCTGGGATAAACTGGGAGAACTGTGGCAGCTACTTACATCGACTTGTACCTGACTTAGCCCGTGGGGGCGTCGTGAGCTTGGATTGTTCAAAGAGAGGGCTCAAAGGGGCGGTATTCGCAAGAGCTTTATAACAATACTTGAAAACTAATGACACACATACATTTTCTTGTTTTCTGGGGGAGGAACTTAGTGAAAGTGGTGCTATAATTGCTGTGCAAAGAAATTTCGAGGGGGTAGAAGAATGTAAAAAGCTTGGCGGTGGGTGGGTTGGCATCACCCCCTTTCTCCCACCTAATTGGTGGCCGGTGAAGGTGGAGATAGGAACTCTAGCTAGGAGACTCAGGAAGGGAGATGGAGGAACATTTTGAAAGTGGAAGAGTTGGATTTAAATGTGGACTTTTAAGTGACTTGACCTTGCCACTTGTGGTTCAAGGTTATGGTCTGCTGCAGATGGGAATGTTTGGGGGTTCCTGGGAGAGCTAACTCACCCTGGGTATCTTTTCCTCTTGCTCCAAGGAGAGCCCTGTTTATGCTTTGCTATTGCTTGGAGTCTCCTGAGAACCCACAGATAGAGGGACACACACAGAGAGGGACGTGTGGGGAGAGTTATCTGCTTTTTCTGTTTTTCTCTTTCCAGAACTACTACTGCCATTGTTGGCCATGTCAGGAGCTTTCTCAGAAACGGTCATAAACAGTCGCTTGAGTTTGTCCCGGTCCTCACTGTCAACCTTTCTTACCCTTTCTGCGGCATCTGTGGGCCTAAGCCTCTGTGGGTCCTTGCTTGCACAATTGGTTTTCTCCTGCTATCCCAGCTCTTCTTTTTTGAACGACTGAAATTGTTTTTTAAAATGTGACTCTCCCAGAGGAGAAACCTCTGGCTTTACCCTTGTGAAACTTGAGGGCACTTTATTAAGGTGTCACCCCCACACTTTAAGGTAGCTAAACCAATTTTTTTTAAAGATTCAATGGCTTGTTCATCCTCCAGATGTAGCTGTTGACGTACACTTCGCAACGGAGTGTCTGAAGTTGTGATGGTCCTGATTTATAGGATTTCTTAATTAAAATGTCTACTGAATAAATTTGGATTTTCTTTTGGAGCATGGTTTGACTTTTTGGTGGAAGGTCAGGAGAGGAAGTAAAGTGTGTAGGGGTTACCCTTAATAATGAAGAGTGTACCTGGGGTAAAGGGGTATCTCGGCAAATGGTTGAGGCCAACTCTGCTCGGCATGGAATCGTGCTTGAGCCACAGTACTTGAGTGCTTCTGTGTTGATGTTCCACAAGATGAAAAAATTAAATCTAGGTTTTGGTTTTATTTAACTTTCATTATTTTTTCATTTTTTGAGACACAGTTGTACTTTGTCACCCTCAGTAGAGTTCTGTGGCATCATAGCTCACAGTAACCTCAAACTCTTTGGGCTCAAGTGATTCTCTTGCCTCAGCCTCCTAAGTAGCTGGGACTAGAGGTGCCTGCCATAAGGCCCAGCTGTTTCCAGAGACAGGGTCTTGCTCTGGCTTAGGTTGGTCTTGAACTCCTGAGCTCAAGCAGTCTACCCACCTCAGCCTCCCAGAGTACTAGGATTACAGGTGTGAGAACACTGCCCCAGCCCAGGGCTTAAATTTAACTGAAGCAATCCCCTCATTCTCCTCCCTCAGCTCAGTCTTCTCCAGCACAGAGTACGTGCTGAACCCCTTCCTACTGCCTGCCTTGCCCTTTTCAAGGAAACCTTGGTACAGGCCAGCTCTGCTAACCAGTCCCTTGGGGACCTCCTGCTCAGCACCCATTTCCCCCATCTGCCCAGCATACTCTAGAGTGCTCAGTGACTTGGGGTTGAGTCAGCCCTTCTGCTCGCCAGCTGTGTGGTGGTGGGAAAGTCACTGCCCTGAGCTTTTCCCTTATGTCATTTATATAGCAATACTTAATAACAGTAGTTGGGATGCTTACATGAGGAGTTGAGCTGTCTAGGAGAGTAAGGGCTCTCTCCTTACTCTTTTTGGCACTACCACATGGCTTTTGTACCATAAGGTAGATAATTTTTCCAATTTGTAAATATGGACGTTGAGGCCCAATAAGTAATTTGCCTGAAGTCACCATTTTTTAGGTAGTAGGGCTGGGATTTTAGCCTGGGCAGTCTGGCTCTAAGGTCTCCTGCTTTCCTTAGCCAGTCTTTGGGTTTATGGTGCCACCTAAATGAGACATTGTAGACACCATTTTCTGCTATGTTAGATTATAAAGTTCTTCTTTAGATTTTTTTTTTTTTAAGAGATCATCTCATCTCACTTTGTCACCCTTGGTAGAGTGCTGTGACGTCACAGCTCACAGCAACCTCAGGTCTTGGGCTTAGGCGATTCTCTTGCCTCAGCCTCCCAAGTGGCTAGGACCACAGGCGCCCCCCCCCCCACAATGCCCGGCTATTTTTTTGTTGCAATTTGGCGGGGGCTGGGTTTGAACCCTCCACTCTTGGTATATGGGGCCAGCACCCTACTCACTGAACCACAGGTACCGCCCTTGAAATTTTTTTTTTTTTTGAGACGGAGTCTCACTTTTTTCCCCTGGGTAGAGAATGGCGGCATCACAGCTCATAGCAACCTTAAACTCTTGGGCTTAAGCAATTCTTTTGCCTCAGCCTCCCAAGTAGCTGGGACTACAGGTGCCCGCCACAACACCCAGCTATTTTTTTGTTGCAGTTGTTTAGCTGGCCCAGGCCAGGTTCTGAACCCATCACCCTTGCTGTATGTGGCTGGCACCGTAACCACTGTGCTATGGGCACTGAGCCAAGATTTATTAAAGTTCCTAAGACTATCCCACAAACCTTGACCCACAGATACTTAAACATTAGTATCACCATTCTCAAACTTTTTTTTTTGCAGTTTTTGGCCGGGGCTGGGTTTGAACCCACCACCTCTGGCATATAGGGCTAGCACCCTACTCCTTTGAGCCACAGGCACTGCCCTCTTAAACTTTTCTTGTGCAACAGCTGTATGTGTGTGCAAGGTGGTGGGGATTCTGGGTGAAGCAGGGTTTGAGATGCCCTGGCAGAATCCAGGTCTGGGGGCTGAGGCCGTCCTAAAAGGGAACAGGAATTGCATAAGAGAGCCACAGATAAGTGGTATATGGCTGCCTCCTTTAAAACCTTGGGTTCTCAGTAAGATGAAGGCATAGGACCAAGACCAGTCTTCTCCAGTGCTGATTACCTATGGTTCTCCAACATGGTTAGAATGGTACTCAGGAATAAACTTAGAATGGTGTCACTCGTAGCTCAGTGGTTACGGTGTCAGCCACATACACTGAGGCTGGCGGGTTTGAATCCAGCTCAGGCCAGCAAACAACAATGACAACTGCAATAGAAAAACAGCTGGGTGTTGTGGTGGGAGCTACTTGGGAGGCTGAGGCAAGAGAATCACTTAAGCCCAAGAGCTGGTAGTTGCTGTGGGTGATGTAGTGAGACACTGTCCACCCCCAAAAAAACCCCCCAAAAAACCTGAAAAAACTGAGGATGGTGACTGCAGTCAAGGATCTATATGACCTGAGAAGCAAGGTAGATAGAAAAGGAACTGAGCTGGGCCCCGCGGCTTATCCCTATAATCCCAGCACTCTGAGAGGCTGAGGTGGGTGGATTGCCTGAGCTCACAGGTTCAAGACCAGCGTGAGCCAGAGAAAGACCCCCCGTCTAAAAGTAGCCTGGCTTTGTGGCCAGTGCCTGTAGTCCTGCCTGTAGTCCCAGGTACTCAGGAGGTTGAGGCAAGAGAATCACTTGAGCCCAAGAGTTTGAGGTTGCTGTGAGGTATGACGCCATAGTACTCTACCGAGGGCGACAAAGTGAAATTCTGTCTCAAAAAAAAAAAAAAAGAAAAGAAAAGGAACTGAGCCCTGTTAAGGGCTGGCACCCTAGTGGGCACCTTTTACAAGATGTTTCCAATGGTGAGAGGTAAGTATTACTGGTGGTATAGCAGGATCTGAACTCAAGGCTTTTGTGTTGCTCCTCTTCCCTCCTGTTGAACCTACCCATGTTCCTTTCCTCATGCTTTCCAGCCCCTGGTATGGACCCCGCCATTGGCAAAGCCTATAGAAAGCCTAGTCCCAGACACAGAGAGACACAGGTATCTCTGTGTCTGGGAAGCAATGGCCATTTCCAAGGTGTTGCATCTAGTGCTCAGCTGAGGAGTGATATTCCTAGCCCCTTGCAGTGGATTGGCCCCGAACTGGGGGTATAGTCTCGGGGAAAGTTAGCACCCTCTTCTGAAGGAGCCAGTGCCTAGTTTTTCGTATGACATTCTGTAAGGGTCAAGCCCAGAGCAATAGGGAAGTGGCAAGGAGAAATGGGGGGGGGGGGAGTGTGTGTGTGTTGGGGGAGGGGATGTTCATGTGGAGATTTGGTTAGGAGTTTTAGTGAAAGTTACAGGGTCAGCAGCCATAAATGATTAGGAGTTGGATCAGTGGTGAAGATAAAGATTTGGCAGTTAAGGCTAAGGAGTGGATGGAGCCTGGGAGATGCTGGCAGTTGAGTAGTTAATAACACTAGCTGATACACAGAGAGTGGCACTTGCCACGTGCCAGGCTCTGTTACAAGCACTTTAAAAAACGCAACTCCTCAAATCTCTGTGGGAGGAAGAAGGATACACAAAAGGAGCAGACAGTAAGAGAACGGAGAGAAGCCCAGGAAGGTTGGAGTGTAGGGTAAACACTGCGGAGATGGGGAATATAACATAAATGTGAGTCCACACGTGGGCACGCACACACATACATACAAATATATGGCAAGATCTACGTTATCTCTTTGTATATCCCCTGTGGTCAGGATATTTGGAATCAGATCTTGTTCAGTGACTTTCCTTGTTTATTTTGAATCCTGAAGTTAATTCGCCTTCTCTTTATCAGCACCATTAAGTAGTGTGGTAACACCTGCTGAAGATAAGTACTCTATGGTGCTTCTGGAGAAGGGTTTGTGACTTCAGTGACTAGGTAACATTTTCAGGAAAACCATTTTTTCTGAGTTTAGGCTGTGGAGTCTAATTTCTACAGTTAAAGAAATGGACAGGCTCAGCGCCCATAGCACAGTGGTTATAGCACCAGCCACATACACTGAAGGTGGCGGGTTCGAACCTGGTCCAGGCCAGCTAAACAATGACAACTGCAACAAAAAATAGCTGGGTGTTGTGGCGGGCGCCTGTACTCCCAGCTACTTGGGAGGCTGAGGCAAGAGACCAAGAGTTTGAGGTTACTGTGAGCTGTGACTCCACAGTACTCTACTGAGGGTGACATATTGAGATCTGTCTCGGAAAACAAAAAAAAAAAAAGAAAAAAGAAAAGAAATGGGCAAAAGGCAGAGCAAAGGTAACAAGATGATAATCAGCTTGAGCTTTTTTTAACCCACCCAAATCAATAAGTCAAACAAACTGCCTGGACAGCCTATCGTTGGGGGTGGTTGTGATTTTACTTCGTATGAGTCAGTTAACCATTGATAAGAGGGAGCAGTTAATAAGCTCGTTGATGTCAGTTTTAGTTTTCATTCTATGAATTCATTCACACAGAGACAACAGAAACATACCCAGCCATTCCAGGCAGGAATTGGTTACACGAGGTTGTTTCAACAGCCAATCTGTCAGGTCCCAGGCCACATTGTGGTAGGAAGTTTGGGACACAGGATGCTGTCATGTGACACATCCATTCCTACTGTCTCCCAGAACCCTGCCCTTTAAGCTTGCTGGGCCTGGGACCTCTTGCCTTCCCCTTCCTCTAGGCACCTTGTCCTTCATTAACATCTTCCCTTCATACCCCCGCATTCAGATGTCACAAGTCTCTTCTGGTTGAGGGAATCCATCCTTGAGTTTCATACTCTCCTCCCTTTTTTTCCCCTTGAGACAAGAGTCTCAAACTGTCGCCCTGGGTAGAGTGCAGTGGCATTATAGCTCACAGCAACCTCCAACTCTTGGTCTCAAGTGATCCTCTTGCCTCAGTTTTTCTATTTTTAGTAGAGATGGGGTCTTGCTCTAGCTCAAGCTGGTCTGGAACTCCTGAGCTTGAGCAATCCACCCACCTCGGCCTCCCAGAGTGCTGGGATTACAGGCATGAACTGCTGCACCCAGCCTCTCATTCTC